AGCGTGGGATTTGGGCGGGGTTGCACCATGGTCTAGGTGAACGGTGATGTAGCTGGTATACCGAGGGTGATGGCGGTGGCGGCCGGTGGAATGGAGAGACCGGAGGAGGATGAGGATCGGAGGGAGGCAGCACATTCCACAGGGAGCGATCTGGTGAGGAACAAGTCATGGGTTGGGACAGAGGGAGGAGGGGACACTAACTGGCTGCTGCTGGCTTCCGTGGCTCAGAGGCGCTGTGGCTGGAGACACCATGTGGCGTACCGTTGGTCCTGGGTACAGGCACGGATGCAGGAGGGAAGTGGCCTGGGGCCCAGGTGGGGCGTGAACACTTACGGGCTATTCCAGAAGTGAAGTTGGCTGATACCCAGGGAGTCCCAGAGTCACACGTGTCCTCGCTACATACCACATGACCATCACCAAGGCTGGTGGTCCTGCCAGAGGACAGGACCTTCCTGGAGATGGCTGAGGACTTGGCCAGGTGCAACGTGCCCCCTCCAGGGCCTGAGACAGATCAGCCCCCAGCACCCCGACCAGGAGGTCTCCTCAGAGTGGGAATGGGGGCGGCCACTTGTCACCACCCCCTCTGCTCATGAATGACGGCCCGAGGCTCATCCCTGGTGCCCCCATCATGGCCAGGCCCCTAGTGTAGTTGCCTCCTGTCCTCCGTTACCCGGGTCAGTGCGTGTGTTGGGAGTGAGCTGGGGCTTCATCGCTGGCCAGGGGTAGGCAGGGGGCCATCTGTCCCATAATGTCACATGCCCACATCGAGGGAGAGACCTGCAGCTCTCTAGCCGCCGCGTTCAGAACGACTCCGTGGGTGAACTCGGCCCAGCAGCGGACTTTGGAGGGACTGGCGGCGGGCTCCGAGTCCAGCCCTTTCAGGCGGAGCTTGGACCAGCAGTGACGTCACATTACGGGGCGGGGCCCGCCGGCGACGGTGACGTCACGGGGCGGAGCCGCTGGCGCACCGGGGGCGGTGCCGGGCGGAGGGTCACGTAGCTCAGGTTCCCGGGCTGCGGTCGCGGCGCGTGTTGGTCTGTGCCTGTCGCCGTCCCGCCATCGCTCCGTCATCATGCCGATGTTCATCGTGAACACCAACGTGCCCCGCGCCTCCGTGCCGGACGGGCTCCTCTCCGAGCTCACGCAGCAGCTGGCTGAGGCTACGGGCAAGCCGGCCCAGGTTCGCGCCCAGGTTCGCTGGGAGGGAGCAGGAAGGGAGGGTGTCCGCCGGACCAGGGGGCTGGGGGCCGGGATGAAACTTTGGCTGGGAGGGGACGCGGGGATGGTGGCTTGGACCCGAAGGGGCCGCCCAGGCGCGGCGAGGTCGAGGTCGCGCGGGCGGGCTGACCGCGCCCCTTGTCCCCGCAGTACATCGCGGTGCACGTGGTTCCGGACCAGCTCATGGCCTTCGGGGGCTCCACCGAGCCGTGCGCTCTCTGCAGCCTGCACAGCATCGGCAAGATCGGGGGCGCGCAGAATCGCACCTACAGCAAGCTGCTGTGCGGCCTGCTGGCGGATCGCCTGCGCGTCAGCCCGG